TTAATGGGTTAAGATAAATTTTATATATTTTTATATTTTATAAGATAGTTTTTGCTTATTTAAATAAAAATATGCATTAAATAGCTTGAAAATTAATACTATTATTTAAGCTAGATTGCAATTTGAAACTGTTTTAATATTTGATATTTCTTTTGTAAAAACAAAAAAAAAATTGTTTTTCCAAGGTTTTTTTAACTGTGCAAGAAACTAGCCATCCCTTATAATTAAACATTACATTTTCCCACACTCCAAATAAAATATATAGCCATAAAATTATTAATAAGTAATAAATGTTTGGGTAGGTGTACCTAAAAAACAAGGAGGTGAGGAAAAAATTAAGCCATATTCGAATTGAAGGGGTCATTTTACAGGATAGCCTGTAGAACTGGCAAATGGAATTAACTTTTTCCTTTTGCAGACCAATATTTTTAAAGTGACGACAGTACTATATAATTTACATGAATGAAGAATTTAAGTTTATAATTCACCAGTGTCTAAAACCATAAAAGTATATTAAAAATCAGGCATTCTAGAATTTTAAAAAAAAATTATATTTGCAGCATAAATAAAATTAAGTTCATAAGTTTAAAGTAAACTATAAGTACATGCTCAGACAGAACAGAGAAACTAGCTGAGAGTGATTAAAGCATTCATTAAAAGCAAACCACTGCACATCAGCAATAGAAAAGGAATTTCAAATTTATACACAAGAAAGAAATGGAACATTTATTTAAACAAAAAGAAAAAAATAGTGCTTTACCATTAGAGAAATCTAAATTACTAATAATCGAATTTTAAAAAAAACTACCAAAAGTAACAGTGAGAGAGTGTTCACTAAGATTGAGATGGCAGTGACTTTGACTATTTCCTACAGAGGTTAAAAAAATTATAATACAATAAATAATAAATGGCTGAAGGTAATTTGATCAATCAATAATTTATCAAGTTCATTTATCTAATGGAAAAGCACCAATATTTTATATCAGATTACTAAAGATACTAAGTCAATCAAGGCATTTCAATAATATTATCTTTCATTGATTAAGTTCTTATTAAATTCACAATTTATTATACTACAATTTCACATAAAACACTTAGCGAAAAAGTGAAATAAATTAAAAATGTGCAGATATAAATGATCAAATTAAAATTATAATATATTATAGAAAAACAAGTAAAAAGTAATTTATTTATTCATTAAATATATTATTTTTTTTAAATTAAATTAAATGCGAATGAAATTAAATGAATTATTTTTTTACCTTTCAATTTCAACTGAAAAATTTCATTCCAACCTTAATACAAGTCAAGCATTATTAACTTAAAAAATTTGTCATTAGCTATTAAAAATTTGAAAGCTTGATTCACAAAATGTATAGATCTTCAAAAAATGCACAGATATGAAGGATAAAATTAAAATTATAATATTATAGAATAACAAGTAGAAAGTAATTTATTTACTCATTAAATATGTTACTTTTTCCTAATTAAATTAAATGTGAATGAAATTAAATATATTTTTTTACCATTAAATTTAAACTGAAAAATTTCATTACAACTTAATTGCAAGTCAAGCATCATTAACTTAAATCATTATCATTAGTTATTAAAAATTAGAAAGTTTGCTTCACATAAATATTAACACAATATATGCTATTGAAGAGGTTTTGTGATATCAACGTAGTGACAGCACAGACAAATTTCTTACTTTTAGTTCAATATGTTCAGTTCACTACCTTATATTTCTAAGCTAAAGTAATCACTCTGCCCATACAGCTTATGAAGTAACTCTACAATATTAATATACTCATTACAGAACAAGACCTATCTACTCTAAAATGGATAGATAGTTCTCAAAGATTCAACAAGAAATGAAAATCTACATAAAACACAACCATAAAAGATAAAAACAGAGGTAGAGAGAACAAGAGATGGACAGACAGTTAGCAAGCATTTAAAAACAATTTTGTTAGAGCAAAAAGAGCTAGAGAATAGAGCAGAAGTGTGAGAATTATGCTCAGTAATATCATAAGTTAAACAAGCAATATCAAATTTATTTAATTATTTACAAATTTAATTAAAATATATAACGAAAAAAATTGGTCAAAACTTTTGAAAATAAAGCTAGTATGTGTATATATCTGCTGCAATTTAATGATTAAAGCAATAAATCATGTTATTATTCATAATAACAGGTGATTAATAATAACCACATTTCTTGGTAAATATGAAAATGTATTGTTATTTCATTAACCGGTTATTATCAATAATTGCCAGTGAAGTTCGGTCAATATGATAATTTATTGAAACTTTATCAGTCAGTGTAGAGATTAGTAGATTCAAAAATAGAAGATTACATAAAATGCCGAATTTTACTTATGATTTAATTTAAAATAGTAGCTTTAAAAGTCTATTTTAATATGTGATAATATGCATTGATAAGTGGTAATTTGAAATCTTGAGTGTATAAATTTTAATATCGTCCCAAAAGATTAATATTTTCATGAAAAGAGTTACAAATGCGCCTTTATCGCTGAGGCTGTGGTTGGGAATCTCTTTTGTGAGTGCCTGTCCAAGGCCGGAAGGTCTTGCTGTTTAGCCTAAATTGATTAAATCACTGAAATATGAACAAGTTCACTAATAATGTACTGTAAAGTATATTGACATATACTGTATGTATTTTTTATTTACATACTTTAATTACATAGAATTTTTTCTTGTTTAAACACATTTTTACACAATTTCTGCGATTTCGAGTTCAGTTAAACATTTTGAAAGCTATGGCATATAGTGATAAAAACGGAAAAATTTGACGTCTAGAATATCTAACTATTAATTGAAAACTGAACTGCAAAGCCAAATACACAGCACGCTAGCAAAAATAAAACTCTTCTACTTACTGTAAACAAATACCACATGTTCATTTTAAAGCATGTGATTTGGAAACATTCCTTTCCCCTTATAGAACAAAAAACAAGAGTATGTGAGTCATATCTCTCATTTTAAGTAGAAGATTAAATGTACATGCATCTCAAGTCGTATGGACATACAATGCCATCTTGTGCTAAAAATTATAGCTTTTAAAAAGATCCAGAACACGGTATGTGACAGCCAGGGATGAACGAGAAATCTCTCTAACATGGCAGCTAAGAGATGAGAGCGTTTTATGCTGTCATGTACACCTGACGGTTAGCAAGAGAGTTAATGAAAATGTTAGCCTTATGGAAATATTTATATTTAAAAATTGCTGTTTATTATTTTTATCAATCAGATTAATCAAGGGAAGAGAGTGCCATTCACCAGTTCATCACATACTGGTGTTTTTTAAGGTTAAATTCAATTGACAGCTACACATTTGCCCATTTTACCGTGCACTGATGTTCTTTTTAAAGTCAAGTGCCACTGCCCACTATACACTAAACAGATATTTTAAGGTCAAATGCCACAGTTCAGTACAAATTTGCTGGTATATCCCTACATTGAAGTTTTTGAGGTTAAATGCCTAAGAAAATCAAGAATGTGAAAAGAACCAAAACCATCTAGTACAAAATATTTATACAACAAAAGAACAACCAATGCACACAAGGAGCACGTATCTGCTTCTAAAGTAAACAAGTAACTAACATTGTCTAACCATTTGAGCTGAAAATTACCATTACGCATGCATATTAAAAATCTCCAGCTAAATGCGCTGAAAATCGACCAAACTTCATTGGAAATTATAAATAATTTTAAAAAATTATTTAATTATTAATAATAAATAACTAAAAGATTAGTTATTTTAACTGACTTAATCGATTATTATTATTAATAACCCATTTTTTACATTGACCTCAATATGTATAATTCATACCATGCAATAGAAAAATAAATTATTATTCCTTTTCAACCCTAATTTTTTCGTGTAATCAAATTTTTATTAAAGTGATAAAATTAGTCTAGTTACAGCAGTCAAATAACATAGTCAAAAAAATTAATACAAAATTTGGCATTTGGGATCTCATACTACTGCAAGAACTATTTTCTATGATCAAAGGTTTATTTAAATTAAGTGTTTTACTTCACCTCAAACTTCTTCATATGCAAAGAAGAAAAATAAGAGCTTTAACAGAGAATCAAGAAAATAAGGATAATTAAAAATGATTTAACTAGCTTTCAACGTAGTTAAATCTACAACTTACAATAACATATTTGTAATTTAAAACTGGGGAAAATTTAAGCTGAATTTAAAAAAAAAATTAAAAAAATATTTGTGAGTTGCATAGGCCAAGAGGGTGAATTTAACACATTTAAGAAAAAACAAAAACAATAAAAAAGTACTACTTTTTTTTTACACATAGAATAAGAAAATTTCAAAATTTTATTTCCTGAATTTTTCTGATATCACGATGTCGGCTGTAATTTTCAATAAATTAATGACCTTGTAAAAAATTTTTATATTAAATTAGTAAAAAAATTAAAATACACATAATTAACTATTTTCAGCAAAGCAACTTATCTTTTGCATTTTAAAGCAAAACATTTACTCGGCTTGAGCTTTGATGGCAGTTTGAATATATATTACCTAGAGAAAACACTAGCATTATTTCAGAAGACAGAAACTTTTTTTATGGAGGAATTTTCTTCACAAGATGTATCTAAAACATTTTCTTAACTTCATTCAAAACTTTAAATGTTTATTTTTTTAAGGTAAAATTTTTATTTTAAAAATGCGTATTTAAAAATGAAAAATGAATAATAATAAACCATCATAAAAAAATTTCAAAATAATTTAAAACAGTGAAAAAAGTGAGTACTAAATCATAATGCACATTATAATAGAATTTTCTAATGAGATTATAAATATAAAAAAAATTATATAATTGGTTATAAATAAATAATTAGATTCAAAATTCATAAAACTAGAAAAAGTGTGTATTAAAAATTAATTTGCACAACTTTTTGATGTTTTCTTTTAAATTTTTATCAATTAGTACAAGCCATCTCTGGTTCCTCTTTACCTCCATAGTAATCCAAGATCGATGAAAATTATGCCCTTGGGGTTTGTAACGTACTTGCTGTGGTACATTGTGCTGGTGCCCTCCGTGGTGTCTTGGGCTTCCACTTCCAATTACTATATTTGTAAGATTATGATGATGGCGACGTCTTGAAGATGGTGATGGTGAAGGACCAGGACTTGAATGCCTACTACCTCCACCACCACTAGGGGTAGTAGTAATAAGTGTACCTCCACTGAGACTTGTACCTGCAAAAAAAATCAATTTAGCATTGATATAATCTCAATATGATTTTTTTCTAAATTTTAAATATATAAAAAATAAAATAAATTGCATTATGAGAAAAGTAAATAAATTTTAAAACTTAAACTTGAGATACTTTTCAAATTGAAAAATAAAAATCAGATATTAAAGTAAAATATTTAGAAATATGAAAGGATTTTTCACAAAGTCAAAACAGAGGTGCATGAACAGAAAATTTTGAGTAATATTACATAAAAGTCAAAACTATGAATCAATTAGAGTATTGTGTATTACACCATTACTTCATACACTGTATTATATAGTGAAACCTGAGAAAGTTGACCACTAAGTTGATTACTTCACTGGTAAACTTAGACAGGTGGTCAAATTACAGGGGAAAATAAGTAATCATTTTGTTTTATCATTTCTTACACCATATTACACTCATGTTTTTTTCCCCCATTTAACTACCAATGCAATTACCTTTTTTTTTAACAAGACTTTAAAATTTTATTTAGCAACTACCCCAACATATATTTTTAGATATGAGATTAACTACCAGAATAAATTTCAATTTCTTACAAGATTTTGAAACTAAACTAATTACCTATAAACCTTATTTTGTTAGTAATAGATGCCAAGTGTTAATTATAAAATTTTCTTAAAATATGAGTACATAAAAATGTATGCAATAATAAAACTAACAAATTTTCAAAACCATGCAAAAGTGATAGCTGCTGAAAAATCTATAGAATTATTGCAAATACTTGGATGCGTAATTAAAATTTCCCGTGAAATATATAATGACATATCGCACACATGAAATATAGCATGATTTTATCGATACTTTAAAAAATTATGTGACAGAAAAAAGGTCAAAATACTGCATGAATTTAGCGCAAATTGAGTGTTTCAAAAAACAATTACTTAAATTCGCTAATTCTTGTGTTACGAATTTCTCCTGCTGTAATAATACCATATAAAAATATCAGGATTTTAAAAACCATTTGAAAACCAGTAGCAAAGCTGCGAAAATGTCGTTCGTAAAAAACAGTGGTATTGTCATATCAAAAAGTAATTTATCAACTGCGCGATTCAAATTTCGAGTATCGTAATAATATGGGAGTTTAAGAAACCATGAGAAAATCAATAGCAATAACAGCTAAAAGAAAAGAAAAAAAATTATTGGTACACAGCATAGATTTACAATGAAATCCAACTTGTTAAAAAGTTATTAGTAAAATAACATTAACCTTTTCATTAAATCTTATTAAAAACATTAATTCTTAATAGAAAAATTAATTAAATAAAAATTTTACCTGAATAAAAAAAAGGCAGAAAATATACCACATTGAATCAAAATTTGTAATGAAATAAGCATATTAAAATATAAGTTTTAAAAAAATTGAGAAAAAAGCACCACTTTTTTCTAGAAAATGATCAAAAGTAATTTGGCTTGTACAGCCAAAAGCATTTATTACAGAATTTTTCTTTAAGTCTCGTGTTCTCGAAGTATACCAGAAATTGTATTTCGCTTTTACAAATCCATATAAAAAAAAAAAGAAGAAAGAAAAGAAGAAAAAGAGGGACCTAAATGACTTACCTAACAAGATTTACTTAACAAGATTTTGACTTACCTAAAATGTGTGTCTGATGGTGCATTGATGAGGGGGACAATGTTGTACTGGTAGATGAATGAGGGGGTAACTGACTACTTGTGATGATACCTGTTTGATCCTCAACATCAAGTGGGGTGGTGAGAGGTGATGGGAAATGTAAATTCGTCAGATCAGGCAATGAACCTGTATTATTTGAGATTGGCACAGATCCACACTCTTCTTGAGAGGGATAGATGCTGAAAGCAACACAAACAGCTTTCGTTTACAGCATTCACAAAATTATAGAACAATGGGAAAATGTACATATGTAAATTAAATAGTATGCTGAACAAAACAAAGATATGCTTAAAATAGTTGCTTCATACCAAAGAACAATTATAAATCCAAAGAAAATAGAAAATATGATAAATTGAAATTGTTAGAGATAACACGAAGAGATTTTCTTTCGAATAAAATACGTCAAAAGTATGAATACCTTTTTAACACTAAATTGTGGAGAAAGTAATTCCTATCTTTTTACAATCACTTATAAAATTCTGGCTTATTTGTGAGCCATGATCTGACCAAACAACAAAATTAAAATAACAGGTAATCAAATAAGAATAAAAACATTATTTTTAATACTGAATTTCTTATTTTACTCCGAGAAAAGTTAAATTAGAAGAATTTAACATAACATTTTTTTCTGCATTAATTACATAATAAACAGAGCTAGTTAAAAAGTTAAGTTATACTGATAAGATCTTGCAATAGAAGGATAAATTTCAAACAACAAAAGTAATGCATTTCTTTTTGTAAACAAACAGCACATATTTTATTATGAAACAAAATAGATATCACTTATACCTCATATGGCTCTGAGGCTTATGCCTCATATTAGGCTTAACTTTTCACCAACTTTCCTTGACACATACTTTATTTCTTAATTTAATGTATATATCAGAAAACTAAAACAGATGTTCTTTAAAAAAAAGTTATTTTATTTTTGCATTGAACGCAAACATTTCTTCATTAAATATTAAACTTTATTAAATTTCTAATAGTATTCTTATTAATTTTAAGAGTAATTGCTTTTAACTGTAAATTTCATATTATTAATTTTTAGAATATTTTTTTTAAGGTACGTTAATTTGTTTGGCATAAATAGAAAAATATAATGGTTATGTTAATAAGTAGAGAAAGGCACCTTTTGAATAAGAAAAAACAGAAGTTTTGATAGAACCATCATTAAACTTTTGAGATGGCTAATACAACAGTTGTAATTAAAGTCTTTTTTTCTTCTTCTTTGCTATAAAAGTGTTTTGATATGAGAAATATTAATTTTTTGTGATGTCACATTGGTCCTACATAATATACTCAACATAACATGTCTCTTATATATCACATATTTTTATAACAAAAAAAAAGAGACTTAAGATATAACTGTTCTACTAGCCATCTCCAAAATATTAAGTAAAGGTTTAATTTCATAATAATAGAGAATAGCAAAAATTTATCATTTTTGTATTGTAAATTGTCCATTAAAATTATTTTGGTTTTCCATTTTTTAACTGGACAGTGGTTCTTGGATGATCTAACTGAAACTTAACATTTTTATACAGCAATAAAATTATATTTTAATGCGAATAGTTTAGAAATTATTCTAAGAACATTCCAAGTTACATAAAGTATTTCCACTCACAAGCACACACTAATTAGTTTAATTTACATACAAGACAAATATATTATTTTAAAAGTATAATATTTTAGAGGTATTTACTTTATTCCTGGAACTTCACAAGATTTTGGCCTCGACTGTTGTAATGGCATAAGATGGTTCTGCAAATAACAAAATCATTTAAACAAACAAAAATCAACTTAAAGTAAATAAACAAGAGAGAAATAAACTCTAATACTGATAAAAAATTGGTTTGATATTTAATATTAAAATTTGGGGGATAATCAACAAATATTGAATGGAAAATTCTATTTTTCCTTTTTTTTATATAACATAAGAAAAAAGGAAATTGTTTTGAAATCAGAAATCAATAAAATAACAAAATATGCTACTTGAGACAAGCAAAGTTTTTCGGACACTAAAACTTAAGGCAAATGTCACAAAGTATCTAAAACTATTAAAAACATAAGGAAGAAACATACTGAAGATGAGATATAAGAAATCTAATCTAATTTAATTAAATCAAATTATCTAAGAAATTAATGTATAAATATAACTGAAAAGTCAATGTTCTGTTTAATGAGATATTTTTGCTAGTCAAATGGAATAAGATACAAATTTAATGATTGAGTTTCTGATAGATTTCTTATTAAATTAATTATAATTATATTTCAAGATTTGATCAATGCACAAACAATCTGGGATTGCCAAATTGGCTCCTTCAGACTTCAGTCTTTTTAGTGTTAATGGTATGNTGAAATCAGAAATCAATAAAATAACAAAATATGCTACTTGAGACAAGCAAAGTTTTTCGGACACTAAAACTTAAGGCAAATGTCACAAAGTATCTAAAACTATTAAAAACATAAGAAAGAAACATACTGAAGATGAGATATAAGAAATCTAATCTAATTTAATTAAATCAAATTATCTAAGAAATTAATGTATAAATATAACTGAAAAGTCAGTGTTCTGTTTAATGAGATATTTTTGCTAGTCAAATGGAATAAGATACAAATTTAATGATTGAGTTTCTGATAGATTTCTTATTAAATTAATTATAATTATATTTCAAGATTTGATCAACGCACAAACAATCTGGGAAGGGCCAGATTGGCTCCTTCAGACTTCAGTCTTGTTAGTGTTAATGGTATGTGACTTTTATAAAATTCTATTTCTCAAGAACAATTTGACAGATTTCTTTCAAAGTTTGTATTTTATCATTTAAAATTATATTATTTTAAATAATGTTAAAATTAATAATTATTGTTTGTATGATTTATCTTTGTATAAATGAATTTTATAATTGTGAGCAAAATTTTCTTGGTTGGTTTGAGAAGCATGCAAGATTTAGCAAAATAAACAAGTAAAATTCACATTAAGTGGTTCAAGCTTTTGACCTCTCCTGATCCAACTATTAGTATTATATAAACCAGATTTCGACTTCACCCTAAATTATATCTTAAATCCTATATTTTAAGAGTCATGAATCCACATCCATCGAAAAAAGGTATACTTTTTTCAGAGGAAGTATGTTTTCGTAACATCTAAAGGGGAAAGCAGCCAAAATTTTCAGAAAATAGAAGGATTTTTTTTAAAAAAAAGGAAAAAATAGGAGTGTTGAAAAACAAATAAAAATTTAACTTTAAAGTAATTTAATCAATTTTTATGAATATTAATTTAAATCAAAAAATATCTTTTTCCCTACGTAGCCAATATAAATTTTGAAAACAGTAATAAAAATAAAATTGCTGAAAAGATCAAAAATTATTTAAGTAAGACAGATATTTTACTTTCATTAGGACTTTAACAATATAATTATGATGCATAAGTAATTTGTATAAATAATATATTTCTATAAAATTGAGCTACAAAAATTTNGAAAAGATCAAAAATTCTTTAAGTAAGACAGATATTTTACTTTCATTGAGGCTTTAACAATATAATTATGATGCATAAGTAATTTGTATAAATAATATATTTCTATAAAATTGAGCTACAAAAATTTATCAAAAAATTGTTTTTGCCGAATTGGTATTTCATAAATAAAAAATTCTTATATTAAAAACTATTATTTTATCAAATTTAAAAATACATTCATTTCATACATAACTTTTTTTAAAGAGTTATTTTGGCATGGAAAAAAAAACAAGGAAAAATTCATAGCAATGATCAAAACGCTACATATATTTATGATGCTACATGTTAACAAATAAGTAATAATAGCTACATGTAAGCACATGTTAACAAATCTGAAATTGCAACAAAATCCCCACTCACAGTCAAATTTTATTTAAATGTACAATATATCAATTTTATTTAAATGTTCTTTATAAAAATAAAAAGTGAAAGCAACAACATGATTTTTAGAGCAAACTATCTTTCAAACTTTCGCGATTTCAGAATTTTTCTAATATTATCTAATTGAAATTCTAGCAGAAGCCCATCATTATGAAATTTTTTAATTTTTTTCTCAAATAAGAAAAGAAAAATCAGAAGCATTTCTTTCCCCTTTGATGGGTGAGAAAAGTATCTTTTGAAACTTGTTCAACAGAATAAAAAATATCTTTTAAAAATTTCTGCAAAAAGAAAACTAAAATTTTTTACTTCATTATACTTAATTTTTCATTATTAAGAAATGAAAATGGAAAAATCGTGAGCATTTCTTTTCCCTTCTATGCGCGAAAAAAGCAAGGAAAAAATCTTTCGCAATTACTCGAACGTTCTGTGACAATATCGCCATAATTCCGGCACACGATTATTGATACTATCTACAGTTTAACCTAAGTTTCAACATTTTGCTAAAACATTAATCGAAATCAAAAGGTAAATCTTATTGTGCATCACAATCTTATCTTTATGCTGAGCAATTTTATTTCTCCACCACTCCAACTAAACATGAATTGGCAAGCAGAAACAGAACCTGACGTAATAAAAAGAATTCATGTTCTACCACGTTCTGCCCCCTCCTCACACCCCATTCAAAATTAATGAATTAAAAAACAGGTGCAGTTGCAATGCTTGACCTTGAGTCTTTATTCTGTTCACTATGTTCAAAGGGGGAATAGCAGAAATGAGAGATGATTTTTAAAAATATAAGAAAAAGTAGGAAAAAGGAAAAAACAGGAAAAAAAGGAGGGGTGCTGAAATAGGAAAAGTAGGGGAAATTAGGTCTGCTGTCCCTGCATCTATATATATTTGAACATCGTTTGCACTAATTATTAGCATATCTGAGGCTATCAACATGAACTATAAGTTCTAGCACGCAAGAATCCGATCCCTAAATCAAAAGTTACTCAGAATGTTCTTTTTGCGCACTCTACAGATAGATATATAAAGCTTAAGCTGCAAAGCAAATTATGTCATGTACTTAAAACGAAATTGCCAGCTCCCCTCCCTTGAAAATATATTGAACTATACACTGTAAAAGCCACACAAAAAATTTGCAATAATAATTGGCATCCACCTCTAAAAGAAAACTGTGAAGAGGGAGGAAGTAAATCACACTTGTAAACACTGTGTTTATTATAAAAAAATTACACTTCAAATGCCTTTTAAAAAAACAATTTATGCTTTTGAGAGACATAATATTGATAAAGAAAAGAAATTCTAAGGATTCTGAAGAAAAGGGTACATAAAACTTACTTTTTTTGGGTCCCAATAACTGTTAACTTGATCATTTTCGTGCAATAGTACTCTATCAACTTCTACAAAAATCAAAAATGGTTTGTAAGAAAAAAGAAAATATTTAATGCTATTTTCAAACCTCTATAGCAATTTTTATCTGTCAATTATGCAAAAATATTAATATTATACAGATGACAATCTTCTAGATGATTCCTAGATAATAAAATTTAAAAGCGATTGCTACAACTCCAAGGTCAAATATACATAAGAGATAAATAAAAATTATTAACAAAAAATTTTTTATGTGTATTCAGCATGAAGGATAAATTAATTCTAATGATAAAATATAAAACAGAGAAATCAAATAACTAAGAGTTTAGTAACATTCTTAACATCTTAACTGGTACACCAATTTTAGTAATGGATAAAATAATAAAAGTCATACATAAAAATCAACTACATACCAAATGTCCTGTTATTAGGAGGTGTATTGGCACCATGATAGTTGTCTTGGGGGTTCATAGCACTCTGATGAAGGGCAGAATCTGAATTGGTCCTAAAATAGCATAAGTTAATATTGAATTTCTTGGTGATAACTTTATAAAAAATGTTTGTTGAAAAAGTATTTATTGTTATAATATAGAAATTTAGAATTTTCATACAAATGTTCAGTTAGAATGTTTATTTATAATCATAGAAAGCAATTTAAATTCTTTTTCCCATAAAATGTGTTTTTTCCCTCATAAATATTATTTTAATAATAAGCGACTAATAAAATGATGAGTTTATAATTTTTTTCAATATACACAGCATTTTCTGGGAAGTAAAAATACTTTACTAATAGCAGCAAAGGAAATGTTTCTATGAATCTATTAACAACAAGTACAGTAACCTTGAGTTTCACTTTTCCCACGAAGTCATTCATCATTTTTATGGTGAGCCTTGTCTGAGTAGCATGTCTATATAACGTTCGCCTCAATTAAAAATCCCACCAGTTGTAAAGTGCACTCCATAACATTTCTCATGCAAAAGGTAAATAAAAATAATACAAGTCAAAACAAACGCAGGATCTTGCTGACAAAGAGTTTATTTGGTTTTTAAAAAATTAAGGCTAATTTCATTTCGCTTACACATCAGAAAATTCATCACATCTAAAATATTTAAAGAAAACTCAAAAATGGCAAATTTCTTTATAAAAGAAATAGTTTGTTAAAACTAATAAAATAATTTACTTTACCTCCGCCAGTTGGTATCAGGTGGTGGTGAAAGATAAGATGAATTGTAAGGTGAAGCATCAGCCTAAAAGTGAATTAGAAATTAAATCCACATATATACTTCCAAGTAAAAAAATTAAACCAAAAGATTTTAATAAAGACTCAATACAACTTCATTTAAACTAAAATAGAAATTCAAAGGTGAGGTCATTATATTTTGAGTGCACAAAAATAAAAATATTTACTTTAAAAAAAAAACACTAAACTTATTTTGACCATCAAATTACATTAATAAGAATTAAGAAAGTAACAGAATAATTGATAATTACCCGACTTACTTTTTTAATGCAAATATATACTTAAAAGTAATATCTAACATATTACATAATGTGAGAAGAATATGTTTAAAGAAAATCTGGTTCCAGACATTATTTTTAATAAGTAACACACATTCAGATAACTGCAAAGCCTAAACATAATACAGCATATGAGAGGTGAATACTTAGCAATATACCAAAACAGACCAGCAAAATTTACAAATAAAAATATGAGTGACATTTTTCACTAAGATATTTTGTGTACAAAACCTTTAAATTAACTACTTGTACACATAATTGCTACAAAAAGATATCTATATATTGTTAAATGAACATTTCAACAGCTTTTATCTAGATTTCTTGCACAAAGATTCAATATTAATTACTCAAGGATATAACTCTAAAATGCTAATTAATTTGAGCAGATAGTATTTTAAATTACAAAGATAGGCTTTCTCTAAAATGCCTTCCTTTTATTTATTTATTTATATGTTATTATTTTGGGCAGATTTGGGTTCTAGTCAGTTAAATTATAGGAGGTAAATGCAATCTGGAAAATACATATTCAATAGATTTATTAGTTGAAAGTTTAAGATAAGAGAGACAAATTGAGACGTTATGGAGACAAGTTGAAAGTTTGGTTCTTGTGATATAAATTTCATTTACACATTTTCATAAAAAGATAATTTCAAGCAAAATATTTTTTTATGATAATCTATTAATTTTTTATTATTTAATTTATAATAATTGCTAAAATTTTTCTAAATTAAGTTACAAAAATTTTAATTTTGCAATTTTAAATATCTAAACAAAAAACTTCATATATAAAGGTTCAAAAAATTATTGAAATTTTCCAAAGGGTCAAAAAAGTTGAAAATAAAAGATTTTTGAAAAACTTTTATAATTCAAAAACCTTTCAATCAGTTTCATTAAAATATTGGACTTCCCTAGGGAGCTCCTTCCCAGTTAACTTTCTTGGGTCGCACTGCTGCCTGGCAGTACAAAACACACACTAAAACTAGTAAAATTACCCTTTTATTTTCAAATGCAAAACGACGACTCTGATGAGGAACTGCATGCCGTCCTCTTTCTCGGTGCATTCTGTCTGCTGAGACTTCTCGTCCTTGCTTCATATCTTCTAAACTATTTAAAGCACTCTATAAAAGAAAAAAGAAAAATATATAAAGTTGTAAAATCTACAGTAAAGAACGAGTTGAGGTTCAACAATGGGCAATTACGGCATCTCCTTATTTTTTTAAAATTTCACTCCCAACTCATTGGAAATTCTTTTCTGAACCCGAAAATCTGATTGTTTTTTCTCCAAACTGCGTATATATTTAATTACTAAACATTTAAATTGCCCAAAAAGAGCCTCGTTGGTGATGCAATCAAAAACAATTTCCGATTGGTCATGGTAATGGCAAGTTATGTGCTGAATGGAAATGTGCCGTCTCCATCTGCTAAGGCTATTTCAATGTTCTTTCATTTTTTATATCATTTATATTGTATGAATATCCCTTGTATATTATTAGTATATTATTATTAATACAATAGTCTAAAGGATTTAGATCTGGTGAAGAAGGGGTTGACATCAAATCGAAGAAGGGGCTAAAATAACTTGACATCAAATTTACTTATCTGAGAATCCTACATAAAATTTTAAATACAACCAATAGAAAACAAAAACTCATGTATTTAAAACAAAACAAGTTGGCATCTCTACTGCAGCAACAGGTTAGTGGCATAACATATTCCACTGTAATCCCATTGATAAAATAAAGTGAAAAATAAAAACAGCACTTGTAAAAATTAAAAGACATACAGAAGGGGAAAAATAAAGCATGATGATCGTTCATGAAAAAATCTGATCTATGGCACAACAAAGAAAAATACCCGAATTTATTCGTTTAGAAGCTAATTGGTAAGAAATGTCCTCAGTTTTTCATAACTGGTTGCAAAATAATAGTTTTTTTCTATATTTTGATTAAAATAGTCACCAGTCTCCTTCACTTTAAATAGTCGTTTTTTATTTGTCAATGGCAGCCCTGCATTTATTACCTATTCTAGCAAAGAAACTGTAAATCCAACTATAAAAAATTATGCTTCAAACAAATTTAAAAAATTAAAATATGCATTCTTTTAACATATGCATTCATTTATCGATACTTTCGTTTTTCTCCCAAATATTTGACATAAATATTCGAACTCAAAATACTTATTTTAGTTTAAAAGTTTATTTAATTTTGTATATACAGTGTTTCAAACAAAAGGAATATAAATACAAACGTTACTCATAATACATACCTGTAAATCAATGCTATTGTTACCAATCTGATTTACGTTAGGTAAAGAGCCAGCTCTGTATGAACCAAGAGACTGGTTAATTATGAGGTGATGATTTTTTGGAGGACCCTGTAAAAGCAAATAAAGAAATATTAAAATTAAAATCTAAACAAAATGAAGATGACAAAAAAAATATGAAGTATTGTATTACAGACAGAAAATTAGTTTTTGTAGATCATCAAAAACCTACAGACATCTCTTTTAGTTTAGCAGAGTTTACGGCATTGCATAGTTGACCAGATACTGATTTTAGCAAAGGAAACAATTATTTTGGTTTTGACACATAATATTTAAAACATAATATTTTTGAGGTAGTCAAAAGCCACTTTTTTTTTTTGTTTTTGTTTAAACCACTAAAAAAATTAGGGCTAAAAATGAAAAAGGCTGCTTTTTTTAAACAATATATTTCAAAAACTGTCATTTCAACTGAAATTTTAAAAAATTTGGAGCAGCAACTTTTTAAATAAAATATACTCAATTGTTTTGAAAGATACAGTTATATGGAAAAGTGCCTAATTTTCAAAATAATTATTTCAAATTTTAGAAGAAGTAAATTTGAGTAGATAAATTTAAGCTATAACAAGCGTTATTTTATTTCTAATAATCTTTAGAAAAATAAAAACTACAATTTTTTGAGCTTAACCCTTTGCTTATGGGGTTCTATGTTGTACCATCACTTATGGTCCACATGTTGTACCAGCCGTAAGCAAAAGGTCAATTAAATATAATTCTATATAGTTTTAAATTTTATTTTAAACTGAGAGTAAACAATAGGTATACATAAAAAAATTCTCTTTTTTTGATTACTAGATTTGTAAAACTAATAATCAAAAAAATAAATACTGTGAATAACAAAAGTTATTGTGAATAACAAAAAAACAGTTACTGTGAATAACAAAATATTACAAAAAGTCAATACAGACTATTTGTAGGTAAAAACTTGAGATTTTTAAAAATAAAAACCAGTCAGTCTGGTATTTTTCACAAAAGACCGGCTTTTTTGCAACCTAGAGTATTTTCCGAAAATAAATGTATGGAGAAAGAAAGTATCATGATAATAGCAGTAACAAAGGCTGGGATAGCCTGGTTGGTGCATGTCCAAGAGTTTGTGGGCTCGATCTCCGCCGATCGAAGACTCCCCGTGTAGTAAATGGTGACTGGTTAAACCTGTCAAGTCACAAAGTCCTAAATGTTCCCATAACAAATCATACCTCTTGGGGTAATCATCCAGGAGTTTCCTTGTCTCCCGAATTGGCTCAAAATTACAAGGCTACAGAATTGAACATTAGTCGTAAACTCAAAAAATTAGGTTGGCTGTTCAACGTCGGATATAAAATAAAATAGCATTAATACAATATTAATTGAAAGTTAAATAAAAGGCCATAATCTTTTATCTTCAAACACAGTAGTTGACTATAAATAATTAAAAACTGTAATTGCAAATTTACACAATAGGTAATTTTAATTCTTATTTATACTCACAATCCCCGTGGCAAAATCGTAGCGACAAGGTGACATTGTCGCAGAACGTTACAGAGTTCTTGCAGAAGGAATTTTCCTTTAGAAAGTAAAAAATTTTGTTTTTCTTTCTGCAAAAATTTTATTTTCTCTAAAATTATATTTAAAAGATGCCTTTTTTGAAGATCAGAGGAAAAGGAAATCATCGTAATTTTTCGATTCTTCTTTGAAAAGAATAAAAATAAAGAATATTGAAGGAAGAAAAAAAAATTTCTGCAAAAATTTTTGAAATATTTTTTGCCTCCACAATTATATTCAAAAGATGCCTTTTTCATGCATCAGAGGGAAAGAAATGCTCATTATTTTTTAATTCTTATTTGAGAAAATAAATAATTAAAAAAAAATTGGTTTTCTTTCCTTTCACAGATTTTACGATTTTCAACTATATTATGTTATGATGATTTGCGAAAAAAAATAATAATTAGTGCATCACAAAATTTGAGAATATCGCCAATGATATTAAAATAAAAAAATATTACATATTCACTAAAAAAAAAATAAATAAATAAAAAAAAAACATTTTATTATATCCAAATAGAGTTTTTTTTCTTTGTAAATACAACGTTTCTGTTACTTTAATTAACATACATATTAGTTATTATTAAAAGTATCTTGTAGAAAGATATTAGTGCTAGAGAGGTTTGTCGCAGAAAGCCCAAAAAAATTTTGCCAACTTTTTATAAAAACTGACAAAGAAATCAAAATGACAAAATTTAGATATTAATGTTGTCACAATTACAACTTAAAGCAATTGTGCAGATATTCTAAATTATTCAATTCTTGTTAAGAATAAAAAAAGAAATACAAAAATGCCAAGTAAACTTCGAATTAAAAATTTAAAAAGCAAATTAATAAAACTACACTTAAAATTTTTTTAAAAAAAATTTAATTTTTTTTAGCTATTTAGATTGATTAACAAAGTTAATATTTTTATTTTCTAAATTAAACTATTGGAACACAAAACAGAATGTACTCATACCTTTTTAAACACTTGTAAGTAGATTATTTTACATCAATTTAAAAAAATATTAATAGCAGTCATAAATTTGCTCTTAAGTTTTAAAATTTAGTATTGTTATGCTTACTAACTATGTTCTTATTGTCAAGTAATTTGTTCCATTATCATTGTTTGAAATTAGACTAACAAGAAACTAAATATGTAATAGCATAACCAACTGAATCTAAGATTCTAAAAGTTTTTCAAACAGAAAATATAATAATTTTCAAATAGTAAATACATAAGTTTTCAAATAGAAAGAGTAATAATGAGATAACGTTTTTAAGAAGGGGAAGCAAACAGCTAAACAAAACAAAAAAAAAGTAGTTTAATCCATAGCTTTTAAACTTTCATTTTGTGCAGTATATTTCTTTGAACTTAAAAAAAAAGGAGAGACAAAAAGACAACACTTATTTCAAAACAACTAAAATCCATAGTGTATTAAAATTATTACTATAAAAAAATTTATGAATTACCTCCAAATTTAAAGACTAATTTTACAACTTATTACAATATTAATAATCACTAAAAAGATTGACTACAATATGAAAATAAAGTGCAATACGATGTTACATCATATTTTTAGATAATGCAGACAGTTAGCGAATATCATTAATTTTTATTTTTAACAAAAATTATGGAAAACTAAAAGTATTGAGGGGAAAAAAATTTCTTAAGGGGGAGATTCGCTATTCAGATGGCAGAATGGCACCCTTGACTCGTACCTTAGATCAGCGACATATTTTCAGTTTGTCAATACTACAATAACATAAATAAATACCAATAAAGAAACTAAAATAACACGCAATGTTGGGTCTTTTAAATAATTTCAATAGTCACAGATCATTTTAGGTATATAGTAGTTCATTTATAACAGACAATAAAATTACAATACAATAAATAAACTTACAATATTTCGTAGAAAAGAAGCCACAACAAGATTCTTGCAGTAATATTTAACTTTCATTTTAGACATATTTTGGACCTCAGCAAAAGCAAAGTTATTTTTATTTAAAAATAATGAAATATTGTAATATGGAAGAAGGGTTTTATTGTTTTAAAATTGTCTACATGTTTCTGAATTAAATTTTTTAAAATTTATTACTTTTTATCCTTTGATAAAATAAATAATTGCATTAATATCACTGTTTGTAAGATATAATTAAAATTATCTTGATTTTTAATCAAAATCAAGCACTTGAATTCATTATAAATAGAATTCCAAAATGGGAAAAAATCATTTGGTCTTTTACAGTTGCTATGTATAAAACACATTTGCTATGCTTGATCTTGAGGTCAAACGCCTGCGACAGGCTTATAATAAAAAGAGGTGAAAAATGAAATGAAAATAGAAAATGATTTCGTTCGAAGGATGGTGTTTAGTAAAAATATTTCATGCAGCAATAGTTCATTCTTCAAAGAAGAAATGAAAAAAGGGGTTTCATTTTTTTATGCTAACTCTTTTTCATTTGATACCTGATTTCAAGGTTGGCAAGTTTTTGACACATGACTGTTTTTACCGGTTTATACCATGGTTTTTAACCCTCTGTATAAAACGTCAAAAACCCATAGTTTTGGTAAAACTGTATTTTTATTTGAGTTTAACTGCTTATAATTGAAAATTAATTCATTTTTGGGCAATAAAATTAGAAAAAAAAGTTGTTGAAAGATATTTTAGAACAGATTCTTGCATTTTCCCAACATTTATCAAAACATACTATTTGAAGTAAAATATTAGGATACTAAACAAAATTTTCAACATTTCCAAGCATCATCTTGTTTAGCATATTACATTACTAAAGAACGTCAAATCATTCTTGAGTTAGAGTTTGTTAGTAGTTACAAGTTTTGAAAGTTTTGTTTAGCTTATTTCTAATATTTAAGAAATGCCAAATTTTAAATTCTTCTTTTTAGTTCTTGAATTTATAAATAGTTCCAAGCTTCTTTGTTTGTTTGTTTATTTATAACAATTAAGAAGTGCAAAATTTTGAATCCTTTGCAAATCAAGCTATAATGATAAAAGTAAGTATCACTATTTCAATACGTATATTACAATATTTCTATATGAATGTATATCCTTCTATAAGAATACATGTATATACAGTATACTCTCGGTTATCCGCGCGCGGATTATCCGGTTTGCAGATTATCCGTGCTCATTCCGGAGTCACACAAAAAATATAAAGAGAAACATTTTCAAGATTTAAAAAAATTTGATTCATGAAGTTATAACACTACCAAATTTTTGGAAGCAATATTCGTTATTGGATTGCAGTATATGGAATATCAGCAGCATGGTCAAAGGTAAAATCGTCTGCGTTATCACGATCTTGGAGAAAGATCATACCGCTTGATGAACAATCCTCTTCAGATGTTCAAGAAAAATATGATAACAGTATTCTCGAACAAGCAAAAGAAATCTAAGGTTTCGAAATTCTTGATGAAGAAAATTTAGAAGATTGGTTTCAAAGTGATGCATGTGAGCCTGGCTTCCAGTATTTGACTGATGAAGACATCGTTATGTTGTTAAATCAAATAGTGATGATAGTAACTGATGCAGAAGATGTAGTAAATGAATGAAATACAATTTCTCATTCTGCTGCTCTGTGGAAACTTTATTAGATTATATGGGAGGATTTGATTACGGTGACATTACTGCGGTTCGTAAAATATGTGTATCGATATATGGCGAAGACGCATTACACATTTTTTAATAAGGAAAATTCCTAGTTTGATGTTATGCATGCTAATGTCAGTAATTTTTATATTTTTTGTACTGACATTGAATTTTTCTTTAATAAAAGGAGTTTTCGGATTATCCGTGTTTTTCGATTGTCTGTGCGACCTGTCCCGGTGATTAACCCGGATAATCGGGAGTGCACTGTAGTTGCAAAACCAATAGCAATCATTTACAACATTCATTTATAAAGACAACTATGCAAAAATAATATATTGTCCGCAATATGCCATAAATTAAAGAAAACAGTAGGCTTTGGATGGTTTTTACCACTGTCATGTCAAAAACCAGTTTTTGATGGCAAAAACCCAACCCTGCCTGATTTAGATTTCTTTTTTACTTTTCCTTTTCTTTCTTTTTTTTTTGGAAAAAAAAACATGAGTTTAAGCATTGACAGGTCTAGTTTTTCTAATTTCTTTCCTACTAAAAATCCTGTCGTTGATGAAATGTTCCATTTTGAAATATCAAAAAAGTATGAAAATCATGACAAAATACCAAAAATCAACAATCAATTGTTTGGTAGAGTTATAAATACATTTAGTACAAATCATAATTTAAAGCACTTTGATTAATCCTCAAGAGTAGAGGATATACTTTTTTCTACATAGAATAAAGCAAACACAATGTGAATAAAACATAAATAAATGACAGAAATGGACAAATAACAAAATGAACAAGAGGTAATATTATGCATTTAAGCATTTACCATTTCTGCGTTTTTACTTGCGCTTTATTCATGTTCTTTTAGTTCTATGCATTTCAATTGAAATATCATTCATATCAAAGTAAATACCAACTATACTAAATAAAACAGAGGCTCGTAACAAACCTTACATAAATAATACTTTCGTAAGTAGGTACATAAAAAAAAGAGAAAATTAAAATTTAATTATATAAATCTAAAAGTTGTAGTACAATATATGTTATTTGATGACATATTTAGTTTGAATTACTTTTAGCAACAATCACTCATTAAAATTGAACTATCATTCACATTAGATATCTACTACTAAACTAAATGAAAGAAAGGCTTAAGTATAAACATAACATTATAAATATTACGTAAATTTAAAAAAAATTTAATAATAACATAAATTTTAAACTGATTTTAGTACAGCAAAGGATCAAAAGGGTACCAAACATTTAAATAAGTTTAATATTATAAAACCTTTAACACATAAAAATTAACATAACTCTATTATCAAATATTAAGAATATTTCCTAGCTAGGATTGGGCGATAAATCGATGCATCACGAACGATTGATTTAAGGCATGTATCTGCATGCCGATATAGTGACTTCCGTTTTAAGCGATGCACCAAAAATTTGATTTAACCCAGCGATATAAGACAACCCTTGTGGTTTACCTACATAACGATTTAACATTCTAGCTGTGAAGATGTTGATTGCATCTAGCTAGGAAAACGATGTTCATTTCGTGATGTTGACTGACGAAGAGCTAATTTAATCGGAATTCCCGGTTTTGCATGAGGACCAGGGTTGAATTATAGAATGCAATGCACAGTTTTATCTTTGAGATTTTAAGTATCATGAAGATTATTTTCAGCGGGACTTACGTTATTTTGCGGTCGCTGTGCCTTTCATTTCGTGCAGATTTAATGTTTCGAGTAAATTATTTTCAGTTAGACTTATGCTACTTAGCGATTGTTGTGCATTATTTTGTCACTTTTATTCTGTAGGGATTTAACGGTTTTTGTCAATTATTTTTAGTAGACATACTGTTACTTTTTTATCGCTGTTATTTTACGTTTTCATTCTGAACTTAATATCAATGAAAAGAAATTATGAATATACAAAAAAAAAATTCTTCATTGAATTTTTAATCATTGTTTTTCATTTTATGATAAAATTTAATAGGGGTATTTTATATTTAAGTAATTCATACTTTTATAAAAGTTAGTCTGTTTGTTTAATAAGTTTATTTACTGCATGTAAGTATAATAATTTGATTATTTTTAAACCAATAAATCCTATTTTTAATTATAAAAAATTAAAACTATTAATTTGCTTTAATTTTTGCAAAAAGTAAAACAAAGTTTGTGCTATTTTTTCTAAAAAATACTTTGGCTATTAGTTAAATTGGCCAATTTTTTTAAATTAAATAAAAAGTTAAGCAATGTTTAGACACTTTTCAATAATTTAACAACATTACTTTTAAACATAGTATTTCTTTTAATTTTTGTTAAAATTCTTTTTGTTCGTTTGATAATTTGTTACATAGTCAGAGTCAGTATTATTTTTAAACCAATTAATCTTTAGTCTATTTTATTTTCAAAAAAGAAAATAAATAAATAAAAAACTTTCACTTATATTTACATTTTTTAAGTCAATACATTTTTATTATTTTAAATAAATAAATAAAAGAAGGCCTAACAATGTTCCAAAAGCATGTTTTTTTTTTCAACAAATAGTTTAAAAATTGTTTTACTTACTTTTCTGAACATTTCTTTGGTTTGTTTCTTATTTCAGTTTTTTTTTTTCCCCCTTTAATGCATGTATGTAAAATATTCTGTTACAGTTTTTTTATTATTTTAAAACTAATAAATCTTAAGTCATTTTTAATTTTTAAAAAAAAATTTAAACAAAACAAGACAGTGGTCTTAAGCCAATCCATCTTTATAATTTTAATTGAAAAAATTAAATAATGCTATTGATTTAAGCATTTCTTTAGATTATAGATTTATTCTACTTATTTATTTTTGATTGATTTAAAGATTTCTGATAGATAATTTTTTAACATATGTTAAATCGCTCTATATCACCGTATCACAATGTCTAACAGACGATATATCACGATATAAAGTTTCTTACATCACCCAGTCCTATTCTTGGCAGAACATATTAGCACAGCTATTTTAAAATTTTATATCTAAGTAAAATTTTTAAGTATGTAATAAAAAAACCAAATATAAACATGGGTATATCATTAAAAAGTCAAAACTTTAAAATTACTAAACATAAATTTAACTCTGAAGTTACAATAAGTATATAAAATTGAAAAACATAATATGTCTAATCTGATATTCAAAATATATATATATATATTTTTTTAATGTCAGATAAAATACAAAAAAAATAATCAAAATATATTTAAATAAATAAACAGTGAGGATGTTAAATTAGTAATTTTTAATTCCCGTCGAAAAAGCTTAAAGAATTCTTCGAGGAAATCAAAACGGATTATAAGATATATACCACATACAGTAAATTAATACTCAATGACACCAAATTCAACGATCTATAATGAATTCAACAAATACTTTAATTTCATGCTAAACATAGTTATCATAAGATTGCATAGCATAGACAAAATAACATAGTTATTATAAGATTACTGAAAATCTATAAACATCAATTTTAAAGTCAGATGCATAAACATAAACAGAGTCGTAACGTAGTACTCACTACTTTTACATGTAAATAAGATGCCAGTTAGTAATGATCATAATTTTTACAAATTAAACAAATAAAAGGTTTAAAATCATTTGGACAATGTAATGCACCGCAATTAAATAAGGAAAGTATAAATTAAAGCCAAATTTGTTTGTAAATAATGCGTTCAGCTCGTAAGGAATGCAATGTTTTGACAGTATTGAACCACAGATACCCAAACAAATCGCATTGGTATTAAGTTTGAGAAGCACTTAATTATTAAACTTTAAGAAGTAGATCAATTTTAATAATTACCCTCGTAGCTCCAATAACTTCTTTCATAATTTGCTCAAAAGCAGCCGTTTCTTCAGCTTGCTTTTGATTATGAAGAGCTATTTTTTCACTAAACTTCCTCGGATTCGCCATCACGGAGTTTTGCTTGTACCTACATACTCTTCAACCCAGTAAATAATGACTGGACGTGAAAATTAATCAATAAAAAACAAAAACATAAGCTGAGACGCAGTAAACAAACATGCATTATCCTCCATGTTTGATGCTCAGCTCAATGTTAAGCGGAAATAAGCACAACAGCCCAACGATATTCAATATTAGTAGGATTTCATTTTTAAAAAAATGATCTTAAGAGATAACAGCAACAGGGAGAAGATCCTTCACGTTCTCTCTGCATAAAATTAATACAATACTTTGTGCACCCAAAAATTTTAAATAAAAGAAACTAATTTTGAAAAATAAAAAACTTAATATTGAATTGCTTATTATAAAAAACTTGCAAATAATTCGAAAACTGTTTTAAACTGCAGTAAAACAATTACAATTATTTAGCATTAAAACTCAATAATTAATTAAATTATTTAAGTTGGTCAACTGGAATGTCTATGACCTTGAGCGTTTAATAAAATAATAAATTGAATGAAGGAGATTTAGTTCATAAAATCATGTTCAATGCTTTAAGACACTTACAACTTTTATTCATTTACGAACGAGTTAGCTCGTTCTTTTTTTTTTTTTTTTTTTTTNACTTACAAAAAAAAAAAAGGTATCATTTAAGTTCAAGCAGAGCCAACAAATTTTGGTCGAAGTCGAATTTTTCTTTTTCTATGTAATGTTTAATAATTTTTTATTTTCGCCTCGTCGTTTTATTTTAAACTTCTTATCAATTTATCTGTAACTGTAGATTACTAATATTTAAAAACTTGTCTGCAAGATAAATCAGCCATAGCAGGCAAGTTAAAAAATCTCGGAACTGCTACACCTAAGTATAATAGTGCAAAAAACAGGATTATTTTGTCAAATATAATAGGAATTTATAACTTCTTTTGTTTACCTGCAAGATGTAGTGAAACAAATTTTTTAAAAACCTTGATATATCTTTCACTTTATATAAAATAATAAAGTAACTTTAAAATGATGCTCAGGGTGTGTTTATTTTCAGGTCTCTGTCCATTCCTGATATTCATTGGTAAAAGATTTGTTTTTAACGGTCACAAAGTTATTTATTCTGTAAAAAGAAAAATTTGACTCAGAAACATCATTAAATTTAATATAGCAAAAGATTTAGTTTTAGAAAGCTAAATTAATATTGCAGGAATCAGTGCATTTTTTAGAAAATTAATTTGCCTACTAATTAAATTGATTTTAAAAATTAATCTCTTTAATTTTCCCATGAAAAATATTTATTACTGGTATTATATTTATTAATTAAGAAGTCAAATAATATGTTTAAATCAGTATTTTGAGTTGTAGAATTAAAGTAATTCAATTATTCTGAATTTTTATTTAAATGTTTTAATTGATAATTTAATAAAAATATATTCCAACTATATATTCCAACGTTAATTCTACAACTCAAATCGTTATTCCAATGTTAATATATTCCAACTACAAACGCCAAGGTTCAAAATGCAATTTTTACTTGCAAATTCAAAAAAAATAAAATGTGTAGATGTTTATGGGGGTTGCTACAAGTTATCTTCCGTGATATTGTTGCTTAATTTCTTGTGAGCTACTGCTTGCCTCCTAATTGATCTTTTTTTAAAAAGTCAACAATTCTTGTGATATATATATTTATTAAAAACTGGTTCAACAAATTCAAAAAAATAAAACATGTCGATGTATATGGGGTTTGCTACAAGTATCTTCTGTGATATTGTTGCTTAATTTGTTGTGAGCTACTGCCTGCCTCCTAATTGATTTTTTTTAAAAAGTCAACATTTCTTGTGATATATTTATTAAAATATGGTGCAGAAATGAATTGATTTTAATTTTAAACATTTAATTCTATACATATTCTCCCAACAGCCTGATATTCCCCCTCTTTATTTTATTCAATTGTTAAATCAATTTGCTATAATTAATCAAGTTTTATTCAAAATAAACTAATTAATATGATGTTATAATGAAGTACGAAAATGATTTTAAGTTATAGACAAATATGTTTATTGTTAAATTTTGAGTGGACCAGTGATATTGTTTGTGGGCCAGTAACTTTTATTTATAATTTCTAACTCTATAATTCTTTAATTATTGTAATTTTCTTTCATCAAAGCCTATATATTTGCTCAAACAGAATAAAACACGCAATTCATGCTTCTTAATATGAGAGTATTAAACATGTCTATAACCAGTTTCTTCCTATAGATCTTGACAAACTGATGTTTGAAAAAGCATTTTATGGGCCAAGTACATTAAATGTACATTTCTTTTTACTGTCTATTATTAAAGATCTTAACTTTTTTTTTTACTGGTTATCATATTCCTAACACAAATACTATTGTAACTTTTAAATTATTGAGGAAAGGTTTTAACGGTTTTTTCTTATCTTTCTCGCTCTAAAAGTGCTCATCCAATGAAATGCATTTCAATGTTGAATTTTTCCATAACGCGACACTCTAATAAATAAAAGCAAACTGCTTCAATCTAAGACTATTTTCTTGAAAATAATGGTTCTCTTTTGCTGCTTTCCTTTCTTTGAACTATGACTTGCCATAATATGCATGTTTGAGGACAAATACGTCTGAAATGAATAGCTTAACTGAAATGTTGTTCGCAATGACACTTGCCAATACCAGCAAGCCTGCTTTGGGAATCCAGAGGATGTGTTTCTTGTTTTTCAGCGGCGCCATCTATGGCTAAGAATACGACTTCAGCCACACATGTTTACAGAGAGGACCCATACATACATCCATAGACCATAATTTTGACCTGAACCAGAGAACGATCAATCTCCAATTCAGTACCCCCAGAGGTATTGATTTGTTATGGGAACTTAAAGGACTTTGTGACCCCCATAGATTTAACTTGCACCAGTCACCATTTAATACACAAGGATTCTCTGAACAGCTGGATTTCGAATTCACAATCTCACGAGCATGAGCCTGGCATAACAGAGATGCCAACTGCTCCGGACATGCCAAAATAATTAAAAAAACGGTAAGTAACTAAATGTAAATTTTCCAAATATTTGACTATTTTTGCTTGAAGGTATAGTACTTCAGTACTATAAAATGACGAATTATATAAGTCTACGAATTATTTGGAACTAGTGGTGAATAAAAATCTACTAAATTGAATTGGAAGAATCACAATTGATAAACTACCACTTTAAAATATATACTTGCTGTCCGGAGCAAGTTGGCATCTCTGGCATTATACCAACCAGGCTATCCCGTCCTTGCTTAACTCAGATTAATACTAAAAACTTTTCTTAACATAATAACCATTACTGTTGAATAATTCTTTTACTTACATTAATTTACTTCAAAGCAGTTTGCATAGTAGCACCTCCTTCTGAAAGTCATTTGAAAGAAAGCTGTGTAAGTCAAAACAAAATTTTGTTGCTTATTACTTCCTTCACTTTTTAACACTATTCAGGCTAATTCGTAAACCTTTTTTATAAATATCATCCACAAATTCTACAATAATTATCTTCCTACATTCTTTTTTAATTTATTCCTGCAGTTATTATTTTTTAGTTGGGATGTTTTGTTTGTTGTAGATGAGACAATTCTGTGGGCCACCGGTTGAAGACCTCTTTAAATATAATGCAACAGTGAAACTAAAGAGTTCACAAGTCATAAGATTGAATTTTTAGATTAAATGTGGTCTTAAATTTTACTACTATTATTTGACAGGAGAGCTTAGTATGGTAAGTCAAATAAATTTTCTCTCTTGAAAAATACAGACATTTTAAACGGTTATTATGGTAAAACCTCAAACAAATGTTTCCTTGAAAGGAAAAAAAAAATAGGATCTAATTTTGAAAATTTTTTATAAAGCAATTGTGAAAAATGCCTGATGTATACTTGAAAATCAACGCAACCAATGTAAGCTACTCACACTAAGTATGCAAGAGTAAATTCTTCTATATTAACTTTGTGAGTAACAGCAACAAATTAATTTTTTGAATATTGTTTATCATTAAATAATTTAAACATAAAGATATAATATTATGTAAAGAAAAGCTTTAAATTTGAAGGTATGTATTATATTGTGTAGATCCGGTAATGCAGATGCAGGGTTAATAAAAAAGGAATCAATATGTCAGTACTGAGAAACACTACCAAATCATACTGAAAATTGAATTGAGGAGCTTAGTGGAAAAACCAGATAAGTGATATTTTTAGGGGAATTAATGAATCAGAGAAAATAATATAAATCGGTTGCATCAATATAGGTATGTTTAATGTAACAGAATTGTTTGAGCCTTCACTTCAATCTTAACAAACTAATCCACATTAGTTTTTAGTATTCTTGATTGATTTTTATTCCAAATTAAGCGGTGGTAAATAAAATAAGGCAAAGAATTATTAGTCCGACTTTCTAATATATGGATAATAAAATAGTTCAGATATCACTTTTTTTTTCATATTCTGATTATAACCTGTCTAAAAATGTCACTTAGCTTGTTCTTCCACTAAGTCCTTCAATATCCTTAATAAATCTAAAATATTTCAATTTTTTTTTATATTTATTATTATTTGTAACCCTTTCCCATGATTTTATGTTATTAAACTAAGCAAAACTGGTTTATCTTAGTTCATCCCATCATAATAGAAATTAACAGTATTTTGCTTCACTTAGCATGTTATTGCTCGTAGTCAACTAATGATAGTCTAAACTTACCACTATCAATTTTCTCTGTAAATATCCCTTTCAAGAGGAATATATCCCTTTCAAGAGGAAAAATTGTCAATATAATACTTTATACCTATTTTAATACATTTGGTACTTATATACATCTTCAACAAAACAATTACATCATTTATCTGTAGCAACAAACCAAATCCAAATGTTTAAAAAAAACACACACACACAAAATTGATGTTTACAGTAATTGAAACAGTAATTATGTGGTAATAATTAATTTGATAAGGACTTCTGAGCATGACCATTTCTCTTTCTAACCTTTAAGTTACAGTTTAATATATTTATAGATAGTAGTCAGGGGTCTGTCCAGGCTGAATTTACTACCGTTTAGCGGTACCTTCACAAATTCAACTTTAGGAAAATCAGTACTTTCACAAATTCAACTTTAGGAAAAATGGTAGTTTCACAAAAGACTTTTTCTTGAAATTTTATTTTTGTATCCCTTAAGAAACGATAAATCCGTATTTTTGTGTTGATTTTTTATTAAAATTTTTTATTTTTCACAAATTATGTCTTAAATTTTCACAAAATAGGTACCCCTCAGAAAAACCTAGACAGACCCCTGGTTGTGTAAAAAAATTTTTCATTCTGTAGGACGATTTTCTACGGTTCCCCTAAATGAAATTCGATTATACATAGCTTATTTTTATTATGCACATAGTATTTTTTTTATTTCAACTAACCCATATTACCAACATTAATTAAGCATCATTGCCGTCAATAATAGTATGGCAATTTTTTACGGTTCTTCATAACGAATAATTACCTTTACTCTATTAATTTAGCCTTTTACTACAAAGCCTATTTCTTTTATTTCAATACTCATATACTATCTAAACTAATTAAGAATCGTTGTCGTTAATAATAATAAGGCGATTTTTTACATTTCTCCTAAACGAATCAGTATCACTTTTCCATTCATTTTACTTTTGAATACATAACAATTTTTTTTTTGCATTTCAATTACCATTAATTTAAAATAGTTACTTTTTTAGAAACACATTTTAAAAGAATAACTATAAAAAAAATGTGGTATTTCATAACTTTAAAAATAGAAATTTCGTGACATAATCCACACGTTTTACAAAACTCTTTTTTTTTAGCAAATAAGGCTATAAACTACAAATATCACTGATGTTAATCTTTAAAATATGTGATTTATGGAATCGTCTAAATTTGAATTTAAAACAATGGCTAGTGCTTAACCAATCAGAAAATTCAATTTCGTTTTTCGCTGATCCCACTCGAACGGTTTGTCGTAGAATGTTCTAATGCCAACAGTGACCTTCCTTGGGGTTTGAACTATCTGCCAAATAATTTCATAGCTTTCGGTCAGATGGTTTAGGAGTCTATAAAGGAATTACACACATCCACAGACAAACATTCATTTTTATATATATCATTTAATTTCCTTTAGAAACTTAAAGTAGTTTTGAAAATAAATATAATGGTTTGAAAAATAAGTAAACTGAAATTATGTTATAGTTGATTGACATTATTAATTAGTATTCTCATATTGTGTAGTTTTATCTTGCAAACTAATAGATGTGGATATCAGGCCAATAGAAAAAATATACTAAATATTTACAAACTATAAAAAAAATTGCAATACACTCAAAGAAAAAGAATTTAAAACCCGAATTTTACTCAAGCTTGGAAAGAACAGTTACCTCAATTCTCTCATAAACCATATGTTAAAGACATTCAACATAATTTAAGTATAAAGGGTGTTTCAACACAAAGTTTACAAGTTTTTACTCTACATTCAGGGAAACAGATGATGCAGTATCACATAGAAATGCTATCATGTGGCTGATAAAAATCTTACAAATATACAATAAAAATTTTATAAATTTACAGAAAATACAAGAGAGAACACCACTTAAGAGAATATACAATTTATTATTAAATGAACACCAACAAAAGTAACATGGTAGACTACATGTAGTCCATCCACTGTAAAAAAATAATTGATTTTAGACTTGGCGGGGTCTGTGTTGTAAAATCATTTGGGCCAAGATTTTCTCATGCAAACCATAAACGTATGTTTAAATGTAACTCCTCTTTAACTACTGGATTGTTACTATGATTTGCTCTTTAATCTTCTTAGAGTAACTGGAATATGAATGTTGGGAAATAAGTGCTTAAGCCGTTATCAACAAGCTGTGATACACTCCTCATATCTTTCACATATGAAATGGAAGCCTGTGTTTCTTAAAAGATTACAGATATGTATTGGTCTCCCCAAAATGCTGGGTGTGCAACCAGATTCTTCAAGTAAGCAAGACATAACAGGGATAGCAATCGATGACATTAATATAATGTCAAACCAACTACTGACTAAATGTGACAGCTAGATTATGAAAAGTCCATGAATAATAAGAAAACCAACTTGCATGCAAAACCATCTAAGTTGTATGCAAAACGTTTGCAATTCAACTTTGCTATATGATTCAACCATCTAAGCGCATCCTAACCCTCCTAGAAATTTGAAACCCAAGTTCTGAGAGGAGAATAGACATAGTATGCATTTCCTTTTATATGACAATTCCTTGCTATCACTTTTAGAGATGTGGCACAATTTTATTTTGATATAGTACCAGATTAGTAAGAGCATTTTACACAACATAAAAATCAAGGACATTATTTTTGTAACACAACAAAATTATTTTCAATCTGTACATTAATGCAAGATAAAATTCAGCACTAAAATGGAAACATTTATTTTAAATAGCAAGATACATATTTACAAGTTATACATTTTTTTTCATATCTGGATCAACTAAATAAATTGAAAATATTTAAATTACATTTTTAATAGGTATCTAAAAATCAGTAACTCTTCCTTTTCTTTCCCAGTCTCCATATCGAGTAGGTTCTGGGCCTCTGGGACCTCCTACTTCTCCAGTGGCAGGATTTTTGTTTTCAGGAAAAGGAGCGTAAGGGTCAATAGTACTTTCTTCAGTGTCCTCTTCAGCTACAACTTCTTTATCTAGTTTTCCAGTTGGGGTCTTACCTCTTATCTTTTTACTAGAATCTGAAAAACTTCTGTGAACAAAATCTGGAGAAACCATCATAGGTGTAACTAAAAAATTTTTCCCTGTAAAAAAATAAAAACCATTGAAGGAAAATATGTTGTAATAATAAAGCATGTTGTAGAAAATTCATTTATAAATATTTTTACAAAATTGTAAATTATTATAGATGTAATAATACATAGATCAAAAAAAAATTTATCTAGTCTAAATATTCAAACTAGGAAACTCTATCCTTACTGCAACAAAACTAAAACCTTATTTTGTTCTCGACAGAAGTATTAAGTACCAAGCCAGACTTTTAAAAAAAATTTCAACTACCTTATGAAATGGTGATTGTTAATTGGGCATAAATAATCTGATTTATGTTGATGAGATAATGTAATTTAACTAGTTCTTAAATTTTTGAAGCTTATAATGCATTGCAGGTTATGATGTTCTGGTCTATTTGTATCTTTTGAGTGTTTCAATTTATTGTTCATCCTAATTTTTTTTAAATTATTGTTTCACTTTTTCTAAATTATAAACCCCCTAGATTAAGAGACATTAGTTGATCTGTTTATTAATCAACACACTATTTTTACTTAAAAAATTCATTGAACATTAGTTGTTTGAAGTATTTGATAGTAACCAAAATGGAAAAAAATTATTTTATTCAATTTTCGAGATTAACTTTATTTCTGATGTGATCGGAAAATGTTTTGCATCTCTAAGCGTTGCTTTCAAAGGCAAGCTGATGTTGGAGATCATGTTACTCTGTGCCAGAATAAATGAGTCTCATCTGTATGTTAGTAAAGTATAAATGTCAACACTCCCTCGGTTTTTAAAGGTTTGACAATTTTTGCACCATTCATTTGTCAAACTTCCAAAAAAATTTTTAATCTTCTGAATATTAATTAATTAAATGTAAACAGATTTAACATTTTCCTTTTAGACAGAAGGAGAAAACCTTTTTGAGTTCGACATGAAAAAGCGACATATTTAAATAAAGGCTTGAAAAAAGTTGTAGTTGATAAAAGGGGGAAAAAAATTTATACTTAATAATGTATGCCAAATTTATGATGTTGAAAGTTTTTAGATGTAGTGCCTTAAAATAATTATTTTGGCAAAATGTGCAATCTTAAAGCAAAAAAGATAGTGGAAAATGAGTAGAAGACTCTTCAAAATCAATTGTTTCTGTGGTTCCATTTTCAATAGAAATTATTGGCAAAGAATTTAGTCTCTTCAGTGTACACCTTAAATACGTTTTTAATTTGCTAAAAGAATTAAAATGTTTAAATTTATCTATAAGTTGGGAAAAATATGTTCAAAGTTGTTCTTATAAATGAACATATATTATCTTGTTATTTTTTTATAATTGTACATGTTTTAATAATAAGTTAAAGGTGATTTGCATTCAATGTACGCCATTTTGTTAAAAATTGTTTGTTTTATAAAATGAGACATGAAATTCATTAAGTGTCATTTAAAGAAAATATTTTTCTTATTTTTTTTGCTGCACAGCACTTTTGAACTGAGAAATATTCTGCAACACTAATATTGCACTTTGGAATTGAATATCTTCGGGTAAAAATTTACAGTTGGGCTTCCCTCTTATTTGAAAGATTTTCATGTTTTTCCAGAAAACATAGAAAATGTCTTAAAATAAGATTGTCTAATAAAAATAATAGGGGAAATGGATTCTTTTAAAGACAGTAAAAGGCCTAAGTTGCAGTACCCATCTATTCTAAAGGGACACCTAATTCTAAATTCCAACTTCTTCTAATATCCTAATAAAATGTATTAAAATAAACCTTACATTGGAGATTATGATTTTGGGAACTATTTTTTCTTCCTACCTTAAAAAAAAAAAAAATGAGGAATACGTTTCATTAGATTAGCATAATCAATAGCTGACGAAGTAGGTGAAGGGAAGTAATAAGTTTGGAGACAGAAATTAAATTTAAATTCCTTAATCATTTTCTTTTAACAAGGATGTAACCATAGCATATAATTAAATATGTAAAAACTCACTAGGTTTTGAAATCGTTCTCAGCATTTTCGGATAAGTCTTGATAACCCTAAGCATCTTTTGATGGTTCGTTAAATGTTTAACATAAGTATTTAGGGAAACTATATTTTCATGTTCAATCCGAAGTTCAATCGCAATGTTTGTTTACATAACATTGCAAAATAAAGCGACGAGTCCTTTGCGAAAACTTGCAGCTCTTCTCGTTAATATTTCGTCGTATTTACTTTTCCTGTTGCAGGAAAAAAAACTGTCTTAGCAGCCGCGATTTTAACCCTACAAATCTGTGGCGCAACGATATCTGAAATTCGGGAAAGCACGCCAAGTTTTGTCCGAGTAGTGGTAGCTAGGTTTTGCGCAGGATGTGAGGAGCATGTGATGTACAGTCGGCTGAAAAATAAGATATCATGCTGAATAACTTTCATTCTAACAATCGGATTTTCACGAATTAAGTGTCAATCTTAATGGTTCCTGGGTGTGACCTCAAATATGCTATTTAATTAGTGCTAACTATTAATTAAGTTGCGAAATCAAACGCACTTTCTCTGTATAAATGCATTAATATGTTTTTTTCATATTTGGAATCCTGGCCCTTGAAATAGGGTGGGGGGGGGCTTTGGATAAAAACGATTTTTAAGTAATATTTAATTTATTGTTTTCTTTCTTAAATAAATGTTTATTTATTAATAATATGGGTTACTATGGCGGAGGTTTGTTTTTCATCAGTAGCCGCCAATATTCGTATAGTGAATGATTGTTCATTTTGGCCATTAATGAATGGATTAAACAATTAACAGTCTCCAGGAAAGAATATACAAATTGTTTAGTGAAATTTAGATTTTATTAAACATAATTAGTAATATAGAATGTACACTCTAACATCATCCAAAAAAAATGAAATCTCCTAAAGGGATCAAATTCAATATTCTCACACTGAGAGATTACACAGCCAGAATATCATCAGAGTCTAGCTTTTTCCAGCATGGCAGTATTATATTGCATCTTTCTAATGTCAGATAATATCATTTTCATTTTGTTACCTGGGCTATTTTTGAAACATGTGCAAAGTGAAAATGATAATTCTGCTTATAATAGTAATTCACTTTATTTCTACAAGCACTGTGGATAATTATTCTTTATAAGACTAAAAATTGAGAAGTATGAGTCACTGACGAATAACTTTAAATAAGAATTGTATGAGTATACTTTACTCCTTACGTAAACCTGCTAAATCTAAAAATGTTTTATTCTCTTATCAGTTATTTTTACACCAGCAGCACTTATAGTTTGTAAAGTATGGCGTAACTTGAAATTTCTTTCTCTCAATGAAACGGAAAACAATTAAACATCAAGTCGGAAGGAACTAAAATCCACCCCATCTGCCCTAAATGCCATCTACACCTGGCTTCCGCCGATCACATCCTGAACTGTCTTGGTCTTCTCTGGGAAGACATTTACTCTACTCCTCTTTTGGTGTTTGATTTTCTTCAGGTCAACGGGTTCATAGATCTGGTCTGACTTCATCAGGCCAGAAGAGGATAAGCAACAACAACAATTAAACGTTTAGCGTAAGATAGAAATAAATATATTTAAACTTTACACGCAATCAAAATGAGTTGTGTATGTGAATTTCTACTTTGCAAACAATAACATTTCTTATACTTCGAATCATTTTTTGTTAGACGTATTATTTTAAGTATCTTAATTTACACACTTGTTTATTAGAAAAACATTTTTAAAATGTTATTAAAATTTTAAAAATTTCACCCAGTTGCCCCCTGCCTGCTTCACTAGCTGCAGTGAACGACCAAAGAAATCAACAGGAAAGAGACCGAAGAACTTCACAGGCAACATGGGTGAAAGCCCTTATATAGCAAGACGGAAAAGAGAAAAACCTGGTACGTAAAACATTTCATTCCAGCATTTTTTTCGAAAAAAATGAAATATCTGTAACTATCAAGATTTCTTTTATAATTCTGGCATATATATAAAACTGCTTCTTTTTCAAAATAAAGTAGATATTGTTGAAAAATTTTAAAAAAGATACGTAAACTCCTTCCCAAAACTAGCTATAACTGAAATGGTTTTACTACCAGCCNTAGATCTGGTCTGACTTCATCAGGCCAGAAGAGGATAAGCAACAACAACAATTAAATGTTTAGCGTGAGATAGAAATAAGTATATTTAAACTTTACACGCAATCAAAATGAGTTGTGTATGTGAATTTCTACTTTGCAAACAATAACATTTCTTATACTTCGAATCATTTTTTGTTAGACGTATTATTTTAAGTATCTTAATTTACACACTTATTTATTAGAAAAACATTTTTAAAATGTTATCAGTAATATTAAAATTTTAAAAATTTCACCCAATTGCCCCCTGCCTGCTTCACTAGCTGTAGTGAACGACCAAAGAAATCAACAGGAAAGAGACCGAAGAACTTCACGGGCAAGGCTACTAAACTTCTAGCATCCTAGAAGTGTTCCTTCAAAACGCCGAACTAGTGACGATGCTGCAATCACTCCTCTCCGAATCCCAAGCCTAATCCAAAATCCAGGACTAAGCCTTTTCCACGAGCCGATCACAGCTGATCATTTTTTCTTCTATTTTCAGATCCTCCAACATCATTGATCCTCTCAACTTCGGTGAGTCGGTTAAAGCCACTTCGCGGCTGTGTACCGAGATAGATGGAATTTATACCGTTCTGTTATTATAGAGGTTAAAACATAGTTCTGTTTTATTAGTAAATGCAGGCGGAGCCGGAAGGGGATTTAAGACAAGGACGCTTTTATAAAATAGTCAGTTCACTTCATCATTTTCGACTAAATGAAAAGTAGGCGTAACTTGAAGTTTCGTACAGTTACTGAGAACAAAACTTAATAATTAACTTTAATAAAAACTTATGATAATTTATTCAAGATCATTTTAAAAAAATAGAACAAAATAAAAAAATTTTATAACTTACCATACAACTACAAATTTTAAGATTCCAGAATATCATATGCTTTCTCATGATCAATAATCATAGGTAGACTTATTCACTGTGATATAGACTAGTTTTATATTTCGGTAAAGTAATATCTATTCAAAATATATGGGGGGAAAATCCCTTTATACCAATTATTATATAAACTTTAACAAAACCTAACATATTGCACATTAAGCTAGTTAAATGATTTCTGATAAAGCTGTTTTACTGCTTACTTTTCGGGTTACTAGAAACAAGTCATTTCTTCTCTAATAGCTGAGCAGATGTGCATCTGGATATGTGATTTTTCAAATAAAGTATAGTCAAGAAAATCAGAGAGTAGGCGCGGTGCAACTGGGAAGTAACGCCCACCTAGATAATTTCGCCTTTGATTTTATGAATATTTTTCATAGTTCTGAATTCCGATTACTGAGTTGTTACAACACAATCTTACGCGAAAAGGCCGAATCCTTAGGAAATTACAATTGGTCGTGGGGCAAGAAACGGATTACGAATAATGCTAAACTAGAAGACTTTAAATTCAGTCACAAAGGTTTGGCTTGTGAGACCCTGAGACCGAAATGGCCCTTTTACCCATTTGAAATTCGGGAATATGATGTAAAATCTTAGTGTGACATAAAAGAAGTGAAATTGGGGAAAATGGGCACATTTGCTCAGTTAAGTCCAAAGGACGAAATGAAAATCCGGAAAAGCATGGGATGGTGGCAGGAAAAAGAGTGGTGAATGGTCAACAATCATGAAAATCGCTGTACTTTGCTCGAAAAAAACATCTGACTGCTTAAGCAGATGCTTACGCAATGAGGTAGTTAACATCCCATGACGCCGCTGCTAACTTAACCTGTCGGTCGACAGCAGAACTTAGCTTCATGGGAGACTCCTACCAGCGATAACTGCTACGGACAGACGGGCTCAAACGCAAACAGTTTGACGGCGAACCTAATTGCTGCTACCGAATACCGCCACAGAAATTACGCTATTTGATCAAACCGCTACAACAATTCTCAACTGTTTAGTTTACACGGTGTTATGTATTTTATCTTCAGTGTAAATGCGCCTTGCAGCGACTCAACTCAACTCCATCTTTTGTTATCCCGCGCTAGTCAGTTGTTGTTCAGCTTTAAACGTAACAAGATGTAAACCTCACCTTCTCCCTAATAAAATATGATTTACCTTGATTCTAGTATATAATACACGGTGTGCTTGCTTTGTCCTGGTCTTAAGACCACAAAATCTTACATTTCTGTCATAAATACGTTGACCAGTTAACGACTCGCAGAAATCCTGCATTCCGTAAAAGTCGCAATTCAGGCACACGAAGGAGAAAAGAATCATTTCGGAAGCCTGAAGTGGACGGTGCGAAGCTCGACTGGTAACCGGAACTCATCGGACCGGACATGCGTCCAAGTCATGGCGAAGGAAGACGTCGACGACGATCTTTATTTGATAAGGTAGCTGCCCGAGAAAGCGGGAACCAGACCTCTTAATCTGTAAATTTACCCTAGGGCAACTGTTGCGAATCCGCCACCTTCATCTAGCGGACAAAATTGAAACTAATTTTAGCTGTAACCGAAACTGATGAGTTTATGTATTATTATTATTGCTTTTCGAATACGAAGTGAGCAACCGTTCCGTTCAAAATGATTACTTCGACGCTTTAATTGTAAATATCTTCATTAAAATTTTCCTATTATTCTTTTTACTAGTTAATAGTTGAGTCTCAACGAGAAGTAGGCATCAATTAACAGGAAAAATGCGGTCTGATCAGCATCGAAGAAGAAGAAGCGATTTAAAGAAGAGGTAAGCTTTTACCCAAATTATATTCTACTGGCTTTAAATCGTAAAAGAACTATATCATTTTTAATAGCAACGGTGACTATTAGCATATAAAGATGGAAATAGAATATTCCAGAGAAGGAATTCTGCGGTCGTCATCAATGGATTTTCTTCGTGTCTATGTCTTGGAAGATGAGAGAAGAAATTGGAGCAGTGGAACTAACTCCGTATCTTTTAAGAATTCTTGTAGTTCTTTGACGTTGTTCAGGAATCTGGTTGCGGTGCGGTCTTACTCCGAGGCCTAGCCCTGCAGCCTGTGAAACAGGCCGAGTGTTCTTCCTTTGCAGTTGACGCGTGTCGGAGGCTTGTTCTGGGGTTTCATGCAGAGGTAGGAGTAATGCGCGTCTGCTCATTTCATGCATGCCGGCTCATCGGTGCAGTTTCTCTGGGTGTGGCCGATGCCTTATAGCACTGTATTTCGTAGTGACAGCCACGAAATCTTTCCACTCGAACAGGTCTAGAAGTCGATCAATTTTGAAGATTTCCTGGTGCTTGGGATCATTG